AAAGCTGGGTTTTAGCTTCAGTTCAGCCATTTACAGGCTGCATAGCCTCAGGCAAGCCACCTTACCACTTTTTCCTCCGTTTACACACCAGCAACATAGCTGGAGAAGATACCTTCAAGACAGTTGTGAGCAAAGCGGCCAGGCCCTCTACCAAGCACAACTTCTGCTATCAAACTGGCATATTAAAGGTTACTATTGGCAGGTATTTCCAGCACTGTGTTCTGGGAAGGCAGATTGCCAGGCCTTCTGACAGAATGAACCATCACCACCTGCAGGTGTGGCATCACCCCTTTTGCCATCCAAAGCTGCTGTCACAGTCAGGGGGACCAAAGGTGGCCTCCTATCGGCAGGACCTGCCCAAACCTTAGTAGCAAGCCATTTTTTGTAGCGTAAACTCCTGAAGGCCCGTAGCTTAGGTCACAGGCTCCACTGGAAACCCTCATTTGTTACGCTGAATCCAGTAATAATACAAATGTCCCTAAAAGTAGCAAATAACACCCCAACCCTTATTCAGGGATTCCTTGTGATTGAGGTTCTCAGGCGCTCTCCAGAAAGCAGGTTTAGAAAAGGGTGAGAAAGGAAAGACAGAACAAGCATCTCAGTGTCAGAAGACAAACGAGCCAACTTCATAATTTTCCACAGGGCTGGCCCTACCTTATTTTTTAACTTTGTTAATTTGGTTTATTTTAGAAATGCTTTTGTACAACTGTGGGGAGAAAGGCACTAATATTTTACATTTAAAACCTGAGAATCTCAATTTCCACCTTTCATTTTGGAGAAGGAAAACATCTAAGGTCCACTGCTGGATCAGGAACTTGATCAAGGTGTCTGCTAATACAGTTTGAGATAATGAGGAAGAAAAGATAAAAGCATTTAGCATTATGACTTGTCTTGTGCATGTTTTCTTTTTCCTATAAGTGCACAGAATTCAACTTATTGTTCAGTGAATGCACAGCCTACTCCCTAAACCCCTTAGGGCCAAATTGAAAGGTTCAAAAAAAATTGCTTAGACTAAACAGCTCCACAGACCTACCCAACTAAGCAAACAGGCAAAATGTAAACTCCCAGAGCAACTGTTTGTAAGTCTGAGGATGCCCTCAGCAGGAGGTGTGCATCAGCCCCTGAAACCAAATAACAAATTGTGAATACGCTTTTATTTATTTACTTATCATTTATTTTTACAAAGGTGTCCTCCAAGTTTTTATCAGATTACTGAAGAATTCTACGAGAAATCCCATAGTAAACACCATTAATGAGAATCTCCTCGTGGCTGGTGAATTTTGAAGGGTGCCTGAGAGTAAAAATGAAAGGCAGCAGATCAAGGCAAAATTCAGGAGGCCTGCATTCTAGGGCTAGTCTTGTCACTAAACAGTTTTCTGGCCTTAGGCAAATCCCTGAAACATTCTGTCCCTCAGTTCTACATCTGTAAAAATCAGAATGTTGGAAGCCAAATGATCTCTTACCTTCAAGACCCTTAAAGATACCAGAATTGTGAGGTACAGTGTTAGCAAACAAGAACAAGGAAAATGTCAAAAAGATTTGCACACTATCTTCCCTGTTCCCAGAAAAGCTCTAAATATTCACTCTTGCTTTCCTTAAAGGGGGCCGAAGATAGAAGCCACCTCTTCTTTCCCTCTCTTTCTCCTATTTCAAATATCTGAACCTAAAGTTTCACAATAATGCCCTTTGTAGGGACATAAACTATGAAGTTCGTGGAAAAATAAAATAATCCTGTAAGGATGCATAAGCAGCTGAAAGAACATAAAATAGAATTTCTCTAAAGCATCATTACAAATCATCTAATTACTGCAGTGATTTTAGCTGGCATTATCCACGTGCGTTAAAATACATAATTGATTAAAAAATATGGGTATCATAAAAATTGATATTTTAATACATTCCTAGACATCTGGGTCAAAAAAATGACAAAATAAATTTATTTCCTATTAGAAAAGTCATTTTCCTTCATTCTATGTAGCTCTCCCATACCTTTGTAATCAATGTCTAATTTTCACAAAGGCACAGGTGAGACAGAAGTCCTTGCTCATTTAGCACTAAATCTTTGCCGACACATAATGTTCTATTTCACCAAAAGCAACAATTTCTTTGATACATTTGTATATACTCTATAGTATCCTAACTTGATCACTATACCATAAATTTTTAATATAATCATCAGACCCCATAAAGTCTGCTCCAGAGGAAACTTACAGGTAATTGCTTGAGGGAGCAAATTAAATTGAAGCTTTTTTTTCCCCCACATACACTTGCTAATAAATTAGATGAAAATTGATTGTGTTTTTACAAGCTATTACGAAGTAAGTGCTTAGAGCACCCCTGAAGCAGTCTAAAACCCACTCGACAAAACCCAAACTAATGCTCAAGGTGACTGACTAATCAGAAGTCACACCATGAGTCACTATGAGAAGCCAAACTTACATAGATCACGTCTACAGACCTAACTTCAATATTGCCTCCTCCTAAGGGGCTAGAGAGGCTGGCATATCTTGACTTGAGTAGTTCCACATCTCACGTTATCTAAGGCTGTCTTCCAGAAAGCATCTGTATAAGTAGCACAGTAGTTGCTCTTTCGCCAGAGCACAACACACATTGCTTGCTCTGCTAGCGTATCTCCAAATTTAAGAGTTCTTGCTTCATCTTCATGTGTTACAAAGGCAATAAAGTTTGTAAGCACCATTTCTCAAAGACAATTCTGCTAACCCCAGAGAAATGAGTCAAAACTCAGGTGTACCAGGTGAGTGAATGTAAACCTTTTGCAGCACCATCCCGGGCTATCATGCAAGTTTAGGGCTGGAAGGTATGCAACAGAGGAACATAATGAAAATCCAGAAGTGCCCCTCCTAAAGAGATCCCTGTTTGGGAGACAGAGCAAACTTGCTTTTCTACTAAATGCCACTTTTCTGATCAGACCCAGTCTTGAGGTCTTGACCCCTAAACATAAACCAAAGTGTGGGTGTCATATTTCTTGGCCTGATCACAAAGAGCTAAAAAATTAGTTAAATTTAATTGGTAAACACTAAAGTTTTAAAGAAACCAACCCCTCCCTTCCTTCATTGCTGATCTCTAGAAAAGAGATGTTTCCATTCCACAGAAAACATAGAAACTTTATTTTGGGAATAAAAGGGTAAGAAATACTGTTCCCTAGGATGGAGAGTATTTTCCAAATAAATGTATAATTCAAATTTCCTTAGCTGAAATCTCAGCTTTAGCCCTTTAGAAGGATGAAGAATATCGTGATCCTTCCACAGCATTCCGTGAGACTGCTTTAGAAGACACTGAAAGGTTAGACTTCAACTCGAGTTACTCCACCATAAACCAAACAAAGAAATTCCTGAAAGGCTATAAGCATTTTTTTCTTAAAAGCACCCACAGAAATAGGTCAATGTAAATGTCGTATAAACAAAGCAGTTCATTACTAACCATAGTTTAGATGTCTTTTATGAGAAAATTGTAATCCATTGTAACTGCACATTCACACATAACTGCCCCTGAATGAGAGGAAAATATGGATTCATAATTGATCCTAGTCTCTGGCTTTTCTTATGCCTGAAAAACAAAAGGTATCCAGGGTTGGAAAGCAGAATCTGAGTGCCTGATACTTTCTCATTCACTCTCTATGATCAAGTCTTGGAGGACTTTAATTTCCCTTCCAATCACTCCTATAGAGGCCCTAGTGTCTGAGAAAATGCACAGACAACAATCAAACCTTTCATTTCAAGGCCAGTTTCCCACCATACCCCTTCCTGTTCCAATCAGGTTTGTGAAGCATTTCCCCTATTCTGCATTTCATGAATCAATTGCAAAATCTGCCAACCTCTGCCAGTTCCTCTTGTACTCAGCTGAGAGGTTCCCCTTCCTTCCCTGGGTAGCACAAGGCTGCTCTGGCTTTTAACTGGCGTAATGTGGAAATGCACTGTAGGAACTCACTCTTTCACACTCTGATATAAGTGAGAGTCTGGGCGGCAACCCCATCTACTAGGAAACTGGGCCACCGAGCTCAGGGTAAAGCAGACTTGTGGAATCTAGCTTTGACTCCAAATCCCCTGTGTCAGTTACTGTCACTGGGAAGGAAAAAGGAAGAGTGAAAAGGGCTACAAAGTAACCAATTCAGTCACTTAGCAACTGGACAAAACTTGCCTCACTACAGAGGGTAAGGAGGCATCTCACACCCATTCAAAGAGTAACAGTCTACAATTTATATGCAAATAGATAAAGACAAAAGAGAATGGGAAATCTAAATTAGCAACTGGAGTTTAGACAGTGGGACTGAAGCCCAGATTAAAAAAAAAGTTTCTCCTAGGAAAGAGACAGGACATGTACAGAAATGAATGAATGAATAAATGAATGAATGAATGAGTGCATGCATGCATGCAAAGCCACAGGCCCAACAAGTTTACAATCTCCCTTTATAAAAGTCAATGCCATGGGGGAGAGAGGAAAGGGCCACACAGATAAAATTTAAACACTTCCACAGCTAACATGAATTACAGGCTTACAGAAAATGTGAACTTGGGAAAACTCCTGGGAAAGTAGGTACCCCCACTCACCAGAAAAGCAAACAAAAGCATCACTCTTGGTGGAAAGTCTCTGGACTTTTGATAGATCACAGCCTCTTTGGGTCTCTAAACACCTTCAGAAACACCCTCCAATACCCATGCCTGAAATGCACTTACTAAACTTGGATCAAACCCCGACTTTTAGCAGGAGACACTCCGCCCTGAAGGTTTTCTAAGCAAGAGGGAGACATTGTCATCTACTTGGCTCGGGAAGGTGCTCCAGGCTTTTCAGTTTGCCCGAGGAGCTCCAACTCTCCCAGCCTCTAGCTGCACACCTGAACCGGATTTGCTCAATTCCAGGCTCAAAGTGGGAAGAGGATTGAGGGCTCATCCGCCCCCACCCCATTCCCCAACTTCACACCTGGACCAAGGCCGGCAGGGCCCAAGGCTGACTCGCAAAGACACGCCAGCCCAGACACTTACTTCTCATACTCGGTGTTGTCTCTGTCACAGCGAGAATCCTTGTGCTTTTGCCAGTCTTTGCCATGCTTGCAGGTGGTGAGGAGAACAACGTCCTCCCCGTTATGGACGTGATATAAGGCATTCCTGGTGTCTGACCCTATCCCTGTCAGGTACCTCTTCCCCTTGAATACCAGCATATACTTCCTGAGAGGAGGGATAGTGTTGAACTTCAAAAACCCCCTCTCCCCTCCTGTCCTGGGGTGATCCTTAGAAAAGAGGGGAATAGAAACATCAAAGTTGGGTCGGAAGTTTTCAGTACTGATGCTGGCTTTGGCCAGCATCGCCTGGCCGATGTCAAACCCCACGTCCTCGGTGTAGTCAGGCCAAGTGCCGGAATATAAATTAAAAATTAAATGATTCCTACCATTGTTCCACAAGTGGAGACTCTGCACTTTGGATCTCAAATTGTGCACATACTGAGGTGACAACTGGTCTCTGTCTAAAGTATCCAGACTCAGGACAAAGAGGCACGCCTGGCTGGGGTCCGAGGTGTAGAACCTGGAGCCCTCGATGGCCGCTAGAATGTTTTGGTAACTTTCGGCGATTTTCTCCCCTTTTTGCTGCGGGTATACGTAGACTTTGAAGCCGTTTTTCTTGCAAAGGGCGAAATCGAAGCAGGACTCCATGCGGCACTTCTTGCCTTTGTAGATGCTCGAGTTGGCATCTCGCTTCTGCCGGGGGGACATGTGCACGCTGGAATCCTCGTTTTCCAATTGATCCCAAGGAACGAAGGGGCGCAGAGCGTCCGGGAAGCGGGGCCAGAAACGATCCGGACTGGGGTGGTGCAAGCCATTCCGACCGCTGTGCTCTTCTCTCCGGCTGTGGCTCCTCGATGCCCTAAACTGCAAGCCTCCGAAATAAAACAAAAGGGCGAGACAAGAGCCAGCTGAGAGCAGGATGAAATAGCGTTTTTTGGCCTGCATGTGTCCTGCCTGGGTCAAGAGGATTGTAAATAAACACAAGAATCACCCAAGTTTCCCAATCAACACTTTCAGCTCCAGTCCGCCATCTTCCCGCCTGTAAAGACTTCAAACTCTCCGCTTCCACCTTCTCTGGATGCCTTTCCCCAAGCCGTGGACTGATCCAGCGCATGTGGGCGATTTCTTTAACTTTCTCCCCTTCGGTCTTTCATCTTCGGGTTGCACGATGCACGGGAGAGAGCGGGGCTGAATATTTCGCACCCAGGGCGGGCGAGCAGCGGACTATAATTTTCTTGCATGCAACAAGACGGAGGAAAAGAAAGAGAGAGGGGAGGAAAAAAAAAAAAAAAAAGCTCCCGATACCCAATCAATGGCAAGGCGAAGTGATTGCCTTGCCTCTCGGATTCCTCTCGGCAGCGTGGAAAACGAGCCCCGGGAAGGCAACTTCAACTCATCCACCACTCTCCGTGCAGAGCACTCCGGTTCCCACGAGTCGGCCGATCCCGGGTTCAGCCGGCTAGTGCATCCTGCAGCTGGGGCGCCGTAACCTCACAAATCCCTGCATCTCTCTTTATTCCCTTCTGCAGCGGCTCCAAGACTCCGGCGGTGTTTACTCCTGCGCTCGCGGGGCCGGCCCCCGGGACGCGCGGCGGCCGGGGCTGGAGGTGGCAGCGGCGGCGGCGGCGCTGGGTGGCGGCAGCGGCGGCGCGTCCTCCCCGCGGGCAGTGCCGGCCCCGAGCGGCGCTTCGCAGGCCCCCGCGCGATCGCTGCCGACCGCCGCGTTCGGTCGCCGAATGTTACCCGGTTCTGAATGTTACACTTACACATTCCATTCCCGACACGACAGCGCTGACCTCATCCATCCACGCAGCCCGCGCTGCCATTGGCCGAGCGTCACGTCCGGGGGGGGCGGTGCTTCCGCTGCGCCCATTCATAACCCCCGGCCGCGGGCTGAGGCGCCGGCGCGGCGTCGGGGGAGCGGGGGACACGGGGAGCCGGGACTTCCCGGGCTGCGCGCGGCCGGCGGGTGGGCAGGTGGAGCGCGGGGCGGCCCGGGGCGAGTCCCGTGGCCCCGCGGCGAGTCCAGGCCAAAATCTCGGCCTGCGCCGCGCCGGGGACCGGAGGCGCCTGCGGAAACGAGGCGGCCCGGGAAGGAGGAACCGGCGGGGGCCCTGTGCTTCGCAGCCCCGGGCGCCTTGGAGAATCCGGTCTCCTGGGCTGTCGGAACGCCTAGAGAAGGATGCTTTGAAAGTGGGAAGCAGGGAGGAAAGAAAGACTTCATAGAAAGCGACTGCCGATCCGAAAGCTGCCTCTCCCAACCCTCTTCCACTCTCCGAGACCCAATATTTCAATTTTCTGCTAAGCATTAAAACAGTCTCCCCTTACCCCTCCCTTACAAAGCACATCTTTTTCTTAAACCAAGGAGACACCCCAATCCCCAACAATAAAGAGGAATTATTACAATCAAGAGGAATTGTTGCAATTCTTCATGCCTGCCTCTGTGTGCTAAGAGTATAAGACAGCTATCCTAAATCCTCATTATCTACTTAGGCAGCCTTGCCTGAACCCCCTCTGTCTATTGTGAAGAAAGCTTCCAAGAGATCCAATCAGAGAAAAAAGATTTTCTAATGGCTGCAGAGAAATCGGTTAACTTAAGCTTGCCCCAGTCCTCAGAATGATGTTACTCTCTTGGTGGTGCTGGTGCTGGTGCTGGTGAAGGAAGGATGACTGGTAGAATTGCAAACTGTCCCAGCATTAGAAGGGAAACTTACATCAGGAAAGTGACCTTATTTACAGTTAGTGCCAAAAGGTTGGACCTTCCCTCATTGACCTCCCAACTTCCTGACCCCAAGCTCCTGCCAACCCCAGTGGAAGAACTTCATTGGATAACTCAGGTAACTGACCAGCAGTCCCGCTAAAGATCCTCCAGGGCCACAAAGATGTGCTAAGTTCCCAAACCGAATCTCTGGTCAAAGCCAAACTCCCTGGCCTCAGAGCCTGAACACTGCTTTACAGAGAACACCTCCCACCGTCTGGCCTAGCTGAAGTCTCAGGGTTAGGGTAAGCTGGACAGTTGCCTAGGGCAGCCCGTTGTTTAGTGATTGTTTATTATGGGAGTGACTGAGCGGTAGAAGCAGACATTTCCCAGCTTCCCTTAGGCTGCAAAAACCCCAGTGGGGTGTGGATGAAGGGCAGGGTTATAACAAGGCAATGTGAAATGATACAGTGGAAAGTTTTAGACCTCTGTTGTTTCAGATTTGTTTTAATAAAGCGGGGAAGGGGCAGGGGTGGAACATTACTGTACATTCCTGAAGCCTCTCCCTATTGCTGACCTGCCAAAGATGAGACACCTTTTCCAGTTTTGACTTGTACCCCCTGCACAATGTAGAGAGGCCTGAGACAGAAATGAAGATTCAGTCATCTTCCAAATACAGTTACAATGATGCAGATAAAGGCAATGATTGAAACTACATGTGATCCAAAGCTTCCCCCAGCCCAAGTTGCTAAGAACAGCGTTCAAGGCAGGAGGCCTTCTCTTCTGATTATCTCAGCCCTGTGGAAGTGGGGCTGTGGGACTGGAGGTCCTCTATATCTTTTTTTTTTTTTTTTTTTTTTAAGAAGGAGTCTTACTCTGTCACCCAGGCTGGAGTGCCTTGGTGGCAGGATCTCAGCTCACTACAACCTCCACCTCCTGAGTTCCAGCGATTCTCCTCTCTCAGCCTCCTGAGTAGCTGGGATTACAGGCGTACACCACCATCACCTGGCTAATTTTTTGTAGAGACAGGGTTTTGCAGTCTTGGCCAGACTGGTCTCAAACTCCTGACCTCAAGTGATCTGCCTGCCTTGGCCTCTCAAAGTGCCAGCATTACAGTGTGAGCCACCTTGTCCAGTCCCTCTATATCTGACCGGTTGTTTTGCATGACCTGAGGGGGCGCTAGCTACCCTTCTTGCTCTTTTGTGTTCTGTTTATGTTTTGGCATGTGCTTCATGCCTTTCTTGCCTAATTATGGCTAATTTCCTTATCCCAGGCCCCAGTGTTACCCATCTTTACCTGTACTTCCCAAAGTACTGCATACTGTGCGAAAAACTTTGGTACTGAAAATTAGAGAAAACTTGGGTTCAGCCCCCAGGTCTGCCATTTATTAGTGCCTTGGGCATGTTGCTTAATTTCAGTGGACCTCCAGTTTCTCATTTGAAAAGTCAAGATAATAATACCTTTCTTGCCAGCCATTTATTTATTTTTTTTATTTTTTAAGCAGTCTTGCTCTGTCACCCAGGCTGGAATTCAGTGGTGTGGTCTCAGCTTACTACATCCTCCACCTCCCAGGTTCAAGTGATTATCCCGCTTCCGCCTTCTGAGTTGCTGGGATTACAGGCACCCGCCACCATGCCCGGCTAATTTTTGTATTTTTAGTAGAGCTGGGGTTTTTCCATGTTGTTAGTCAGACTGATCTCGAACTACTAACCTTAAGTGGTCTGCCCACCTCGGCCTCCCAGAGTGCTGAGATTACAGGCATGAGCCACTGTGCCTGGCCTCAATTTGTAAACTGTAAATTGATCTACATGTGTAACACCATTAGCCTAAGTTCCACATTTGAAAATCCAACTGGAATCTTAAAAGTAGCCCTTCTAATGGCATCATCATTTCATCTCCTCTGTTTTATTTTTTCCCAACCCTTCTCATCAGCTGAAATCTCTTCTATTTGTTTACTTGTTAACTGTTTCTTCATGGTAAGGAAGAAACAGTTCAACAATCACTTGAACCTGGGAGGAAGCTCCTGCAAGCAGAACTGTTCGTCCTATTTACTCCTTTATCCCAAATGCCAGGAGCAACTCCTGGCACTTAGGTTATGCTCAGTCACTGATTCAAATGAATGAATGAATGACTTCCTAAAATTTAGCTCCACCGTAGCACTTTTACACACATGAAAAGAAAGACCTCATACGTAGAAGCAACAAAAGCAAAAATAAACAAGTGGAATACATCAAACTAACAATCTTCTGCACAGTTAGTAAAGGAAACAATCAACAAATAAAAAGGCAGCCAACAAAAGGAAGGGAAATATTTGCAAACCAAACATCTGATATGGGGTTAATATCCAAAATATACAAGAAACTCACACAACTCAATAGCAAAAAACAAAACAAAACAAAAAATTTTAAATGGACAAAGGACCTAAACAGACATTTTTCAAGAAAGACATTCAAATGGCCAATGGGTATATGAAAAGGTATTCAACAATGTTAATCATCAGGGAAATGCAAATTAAAACCACAGTGAGATACCACCTCACACCTATTAGAATGGCTATTATCAGAAAGGCAAACGATAACAAGCATTTGGGACAATATGAAGAAAAGAGAATGCTTGCACACTGTTGGTGGGACTGTAAATTCATACGGCCATTGTAGAAAATGATAGGGAAATTCTCAAAAACTTAAAAGCATAACTACCATATCATCCAGCCATCTTACTTCTGGGTATATATCAGAAGGAAATGAAATCAACATGTCAATGAGATGCCTGCACTCTCATGTTCACTACAGTGTTATTCACAATAACCCAGACATGGCAACAACCTAAATGTTACATTAATTGATGAATGAATAAAGAAAACATGCTATATACATACAATGGAATATTATTCAGCCATAAGTAGCAGGAAATCCTACCGTTTGAGACAACAGGGATGAACCACCTTATGCTGGGTGAAAGCAGCCAGATAGCCAGGTACAGAAAGACAAATACTGCACTTCTGTGTGCATCTGACCTACATTGTAGAACCTACATGTAGAGTCAAATTCACAGAAGCAGAGAGTATAATGGTGCTTGCCATGGTCTGAGAGCTTGGAGCAATCGGGATATGTTAGTCAAACGATATATAACATTCGGTTGTAAGATGAGAAAGTTCTGGGAATCTAATCTACAGCACTGGTTAATAATGCTGTATTGCATACTCGGGATTTGCTAAGACAGTAGATCTTAAGTAGATCTTTCAACACACACACACACACACACACACGCACACACACACACGATAACTATGTACCATGACAGATGGGTTAATTAGCTTGATAATAGCAATCATTCTGCAATGTATACATATATCAAATCATGTTGTACATCGTAAATGTACATGCAATTTTTATTTGCCATTCACATCCCAATAAATCTGAGGAAGTTTTTTTTTTTTTCAAAGGCCGCTTGGTAGTCCTCAAAGCAAGACTCAGTCTGTGGTTTGAAGTGGAAATATTACTAACCAGGATTATCTTAACAGAGAGCAAGTTGGTCCATTGTTAACTTTTTAACAATGATGTGTTTGAGCCAGGCATGGTAGCTTATGCTTGTAATTCCAGCACTTTGGGAGGCCGACACAGGTGGATCACCTGAGGTCAGGAGTTCGAGACCAGCCTGGCCAACACAGTGAAACCCCAGCTCTACTAAAAATACAAAACTTAGCTGGGCATGGTGGCACACTCCTGTAGTCCCAGTTAGTTGGGAGGCTGAGGCAGGACAATCGTTGAACCTGGGAGGCGGAGGTTGTAGTGAGCCAAGATCACGCCACCGCACTCCAGCCTGGGCGACAGAGCAAGACTCCATCTCAAAAACAAAAACAAAAACAAAAACAAAACACACTGATGTGTTACAAATCATGTAACTCCTCTGGTCAAAGCCCTCAAGGGATCCCTGTCTCTCTACTAAGAGACAAAGCCTTTTCAATTACCTACAAGGTCCTGCAGGATTTTTCTTAACTGTCCCCCACCTCCCCTCACCACATCCTCTCACCCCTAAGCTTTGGTTTCTCATTGGTAAAATCAAGAGTAACTGTAATATATAGCATGCTTAGCTATAAGCATGTAAGTTACT